TTCAGGTCCTTGGCCCATTTATTGATTGGGTTATTTGTTATCTTATTGTCTAATTTTTTGAGTTCTTTGTATATTCTGGTTATTAGGGCTCTATCTGAAGTGTGTGGAGTAAAGATTTCAAAACTCCAGTGTAATGTGGCTCAGTGTGCCCAAATCACTTTTCTTTACTCTGATATTTTTCCTGCATCTATTCCAAATGGGTTTCCCCCTTGGTACAGTGGCCTTCCTGCCACAGTTGGGACGGTAGACCCACCAGACCACAACTTCTCCTTCCTCTACTCTCGTCTTTGGGTGTTTGGGGAATTACTGCTGCTTAGTAGCCAAGTTTTACACTTTCATTCTTTTCACAGTGAATTCTGGAGTACTGTCTTTGGGCCTAGATCTGAAGTAAAAGTTGTATTAGAAAACTCCCTTCCTGAAATGTCTTTGGAAAGAAGAAACAGAGTAATAGGTCAAGGTGAATGTTTTATGGATAAAAAGAATAGAAAAGCCTAGAAAACTGATTCAGAGGCCAGCAGAGATCAAATGCAATGACACAATCTTATCAATGGGTGGCAGGTTTTGCTATCAATACTAAAACTGAATTTTGTTACAATATTTGATAGAATGGGCAATTAGTTGTAAACGTTATGCAATTCGTGTTATCTACTTAGGTTTTTACAGACTGAATCTTTTCTTTTACCATCAGGTTAGGAATGAGAGCTAAAAGGCACAGAAGCAGGAAAACAAAAAGAATAAAGGGTCTAGTTAGGAACTCAGTGATGAGAAAAATCTGTTTAGACAGGCAAACCACCTTCATTATGCTAGGGCTTGCTGGTGCCTGGGCCAGCTAGTCAGTAGTGTGGGAGCAGAGCTGGGTGTGTGGGTATGTAACTTAAGCTTCCATCAAAGGGATGTAAGCTGGAGTTAAAACCCAGTCAGGGCTCTGTTAGTCAAGCCTTGTACCTTACAGAGTTCCCAGAGGAAAGGTGCCCTTTTCTAATTGATCATCCCAGGGAGGACACCTTTGTGATGGACTTTATGTACCTCAAGGTACACCTTTCTCCAAAGCTTGCAGAAGTGTGAGTAGTCTGCAGAGGAGATCCAGGGAGGCTCATGGACAGTGGCCTGGCCTCAGTGAGGAGCAGAGCTCAGCAGCCTGGAATGTGAAGAGCAGGCCAGAGCAGATGGTTGGGACATCAGGAATGTTGGAAGACATGGCACCAAATGCTAGTCTGTGGGTAGGCAGATCATCATGGACATATCGCATCCCATTTGTGTAGACGCTAGGTCCTTGCTAACCCATGGAGACAAGTAGCAGCATATGGGCACATGATAAGTGGGGACTAATCTGGGGTCTAAGGTGTAAAGTAGGGGCAAGGCTCAAACTAGGGCACTTTGGTGACTGTCTTTGAGGCATCAAAGAAACCCATAGGCTACCATTCAGTAATGAAATTAAATAGAGGAAGGTTCCAGAAATCAACAGAGATTAAAGTCATAGGATGTTAAGTGGTACAGGGTGAGGAATTTGCCCATGAGCTGTAGTAAATGGTGTGTGATTCGGCTCCTACCCCAGTTCTATCCCTGAACTTAAGGGTGGCAAGCAAACAACTCATCCCAGTTTGCCTGGAACTGTGGCAGGTTTAGCACAGAAAGTCCCATGTCCCTGAGCACCCTTGGTCTTGGAAAAACTGAGAGATGAACTCATAAGATACTCATTGATTCTGTTTCCCTTATTACTGTAGTCAGTCCACCAGGCAAGGAGGGGAGCAAGCTCCTCACAGTGTAAAGGTGATCCAGACTCACTGACATACAGGTCTCCAGCTATCAGCAAAGAGCCCACAGAGAACATAGAAACCTATAGAACAGAACTGAGACGATGGGCAAAAGTGAACCTGGTCATCACACAAAACAGCCTAAGAATACAAACCCTTGATGCAACCCTCCTCAGCCAATATTTAGAGCAGCACTTTTACTTTCTAGACATTTTTTTCTTTATATCATAATTAGCAATAATGTGGTTCTTTCAAAAATTAAATTTTATTCTGATGAGTTTATTCTAAAAATTCCATTTACATAGTGACACGTAGAGAAATTATTAAATTTTAGAGAAATAGCAGTCCTATGCAGAATCTTGTTAAGATATATTTCCTTCCATTTTTTTCCTTTTAAAATAAATTCTGAAAAATAAACAAAAAAAATGAATATCCCATTTACATTTTCATTTCTTGCTTTAAAAGTTTAGGAAATCTAAAGTACAACTGTGAAACTCAATTTCCTGCAAATTAGAGCCATGATCATATTCTCTACCTCCTCACCCTTAGGACATCCCCAGGACATCTGCACACATATGACACTTTCCTCAATAAAGTGCCAGACCTCATCACTAGTGGTGACCTGCATGTGGCAGTAACCTACCCATAATCCTCTTTTCTTACATAGATGACATAATCCTCTGGATGGTATTTCCCTTAAATATAAAGTGAATCCCCCTCAGGACACCCATAAGCTCTTTCTCATCAACACTCCAATTATTAATAATAACATATTACAAGTGCCAATGGTCTCCATTTTTCTCAGCACTCTGGCATTCATTACCTCATTCTCTCCCCTTCTCCCCACCCATTCCTACTGTTGACAGTCAATAGTGAGCATTGTAAGGGATTACTGATGGGCTTTGTTTATAAAAGAGAAACCTTTTAGACATGAACAGCTACCTGCTTTAGAACACTATCTGCAATTTTTAAACTTCAAATTTAATATGTAAGGAACAAGGCCAATCTTCTCTTCCATAAATAAATATTTACTGAGCTCATGTACCAGTAATAGTTAAGGTGTAGAAAGTAACAGCAACAATTGTTTAATTCATTGATCTTAAGTAAAAGATAAACAGTAATAAATAAGAAAATATGTGATGTCTGATAGTAAAAAGTGCTATTAAAAAATCAAGATCTCGAGATATATGTCTGCATGCATGCTTATGTGTTTCAGAGAATCATTTACATCAGGTGATAGGAAGAGCCTCTAATGAGG